GATGGTTTTTCCCGTGCGCACCTCCTCACATATTAGGATTTTCACGATTTAAAAAAAACAATATAAAATTGATTACTTAATATAGACATACGATGATGTGAGTTCCGTGAAACGCCTCGAATCGAATGATTGCTGTGTTTGTTCTTTAGACTCGGGTGTTACATAATGACAGCTGGCACCTGCTCTCTCAATGTGCAAGTGATGATTGCTGTGGAACGCGTACTGTCTTCAAAAATACAACTACAAGCACGTATGTTGTTTCTATGGGGTTGCGGTGTCCAGTAACCCAAAGGGTCAGAAAAATACCAGATCACAAAACCGAATCACGTAACCTTTTCATAAATTGAGCTCATTGGCTCATACTAATATTGTATTTTTTTTGTTCTGATTTTCAATGAAAGTGACGGAATATTTGTGCTCGGGGTGGTTTTTGTTTTTCCAGACCTTTCGACTTTTCAACTTGCCATTTTTGACAATTTTTTGTGATATGCGAAGCTCAATTTGAAAATATATATCATTGTGATCGTTTTTCGTAACTTTATAGAGGTTTAAAGATCGCCAAACTGGCTAAATTGGGATAATTAAACAGCGATGTGTTTCGTTGTAAGAACGCGCAAGCAGAGTTTTTCTTAGAAATAGTTCAAAATTGAAATGAGGCATGCTATTTGGTCTATTTAATACTCTGTTATATCCGAAATATATCACTTTGTGGTTTACATAGCGCGAGGGGGTTAGTGTACCCATAAAAATTTTTAATTAAAAAATGATTTTTTTTCCATATTTCATTAATCGAACGACACCACGTAAACATTAAAGGGCAATTGGAACATTCACGGCGTCACCCTGATACGAGCAGTCACGGCTCAAATTTTTTCAAGTTTTGTTTTGAGAAAAAAAAAGTGTCATAATGTATAAATTTGAGTCTTCAAATTATTTGATAGCGTGTAAAAGAAAGATGGTTTTTTGGCTCACTGATCTGGTCCGCCCGTTTTTGGTCTACTGGCTTATCGTTTTACTGTTCTACAACCGTTACTGTATATTTTGTGAGTGACAGAATTTTTTTGATTGGCGACTGTTCAGCACACCACCATTTTTTAGATTAACGTATAGTTTCCTATCAGATTAACGTATAAATTGCGTAACAGCAATGCTACATATATTAAATTTTTGCTTGTTGCAATGATTTTTTTTAAATTTCGGTTGAATGGCTCATCGGTTTATTGGACTACTACCGACCAATAGGTTATGTGGCTTAGTGGTTTAGTGCTTAGCTGTTTTGTCTAGCGACCCGAGATCAAAAAATATAGCGACCCGAGATCAAATTCTACAAGGACCACTTAATTTTTTTGAGTTAGAATTTAAAAAATATTGAAAAGTTTCTGAACCGCAATAACAATAGAAACAAAGTATTCAAAGAAAATGCATGCTTGTCTTAGTCGTTTCATAATAAATTTTTGGCTAGCATTCAGATTAGAACAAAGGCTTTTTTAGAAATAGAAAAGAGGTTTGATACGGGTAAGATGGTCATAGACACGGATGCTGCAAGTTCTGTAAGTTAGAACTATACAAAAATGATGTTTAATGTACATAAATTAGATTTTCCTTCTTTTTCTAAGTTTTTGAAAGAATTCATTTTCTAGCTTCACCCAAGCCTACATATGTGACTATTGCTGTTTAAAATGGGTAAGTCGCGACCTTCACAACCCAAAACATATGTCGCAACCCCAGTATGTTGTATCTTAATAATCTTTACGACTTATGACTTCTCGAAAAAAATTTTGATCTACCTATTGTTATATTTTTTGACAAAAGTTTTTGGTAATTTCCCTGATGTGAAATTGCAAAAAAGTACTTTAAAAACACAATTTTACTATTTCATTCTCAGTCTAAGCCATTCTCAAGAGGACTATTTGTTTTCATTAAATAATTTCAAATTGGCGTTAGCTTCTTTCATGCTTAATAACAATCACTTTACAAAAAAAAATAAAAAAATTTGATTACCTATAAAATCTAGATGTTTGTTTTTGCTAAAAAAATTTGTTCCAAACTTACTTTTATTTGTCAGTATAAGTCAAAAATAGTGTGATTTCAATGTCAAAATAAGATTCATGTTATCGGACAATCAACTAGAATTAATTATAGGCCTTCATCAAGTTTAAAAGCAAGAACACTCAAAACGGCTTCGTATAACAATTCCTCAATAATTTTTAAAAAAAAAGTTTTAGGATGATATGACTGATAGTTTAACAGTACAAGTTTTTTTTTCAGTACAACTGTTTTTTTGAGGTACCAATACTAGTTAAATAGCTTTCAAATGTTGGTTTTTTAGGTATTTTTCAGCAAACAGTCACTCTCCTCGATGAATTCGACCCCCTGCCGACCCAAAGGGTCCCCCTCTGTACTATTTTGAGATATCTATTTTTGACTGACTGACCTTAAAATTGTTTTCAAGGCGCCATGGGCACCAATCTATCCTAATTTTGAGGGGGGAGCGCGCGCCGAAAAAACGCGTTTTTTGGTCAAAATTTTCCAAAAAGTGCCTAAAAACGGCATGTTTGGCCTCTTAATTTTTTTAAAAAATTTGCCTGCTGGGCAGAAAATTTCATCAAATTATAGTCTTTATAGTGGTTTGGGAGAGCTAAAAAAAATCAATTTGGTTGACCTAAAAAAGGGCGACAATATTTTCAATTTTTTTGACCCCCTCCTCGAAAAACTCCTAGATCCGCGCCTCTATATAAATATATATATGTATAAATATAAATGTATAATAATGTAATTTACGCGCGTTGATAATAATAACAGCGTTATATAATTTAGATATTCGTTTATTTTCCAAAAACTAAAATTAATCACTTTTAAGCCTCAAGAAATGACCACGCCGAAATATGTGACTAATGATACTTAAGCGTAATCTTCTCGGCGCAAAAAATATATCGCGAACACAGAGAGTTTTTTCTCAGTAGTCTTAACGTTTTAAGTTGGTATAGATTTCAAAATATAGATTTAAAATTGATTTTACTTCATCGCTTAAAAAAACTAAAAAAGGCAACATCTGTTGTACAATCAGGCTCATTTTTTTTAGAACTGAATCGATTCTTTTGGAATAAAACTATCTAATTCATCTATTAAGAATCAGTTAACGCAAGCAAACCCGCGACATTTAATCGATTATGTATTTTGGAAAAGTTCATTCCATAGGTTTTTATGAATTTTCTCACTTTGGGAACCCTAAAATTCAATGATTTTTTCGGCTTATTTGTTCTGGTCATTTTCAATTCGTAAATCATTTTGAGCGAAATACTGTGTGGTGAAACACAGTAAGGATTCAAAATGCTTGATTCTAACGAAATATGTTTTCTTCGAAAATACTGTATAAGACTAAATTTTCAGGAGAGCAGTATGGCGTGTGTCGTGTGGTAGTTCTCGTCTTTCTGTTCGCCCTCTTGCCGGCAGCAGCCATGACAGGCAGTATGGTGTGGACATTCTACCCGGAGAACACGTTCGAACTGGACCCTGAACAGGTGGACTTCGGAATCAAGTGGAACACAGATACGACTGCAGGTTCAAAATGATTATTTGCTCGGTTATAAAGTATCTCGGATGAATTAAGTAGCTCTTTTCCAACCCCCACCACCGAATCATTTCAATTTTCATTTTGAAAAACTAATTTTGCTTTGTTATAGCCCAATGAAATTTTGCATGGTAACTTACCAACTATTGTGAACACATTCGTTCTTCAAACCCTAGATCGTAACATCACGTCCCAAGTCCATCAATCTTTGACATCTTTGAAAAATCTTGAAGAATCTTGCAGAAAATCTTAGCTGTTGAAGAGTCTTGCAGAAGAGTCTTGAAGAGTCTTGCAGAAGATTAAACTAAAATTTTCTGAAAAAAAAAATTAAAAATTCTCAAGAACTTTCGGTTTTAAAAAACAATTGTAAAATACTTAAAAATTAGACTAACTATGATTATGAAAAAGCCAAATGAAATTATAAAAATAAATTGCACAATGAAATTCTACACAACAATGAAACTTTGCGCATAACTAACAATCATCAGAATAAAAATCAGAGTGAAAAATTTTCTGATGATTATCAGCCTTGCAGCAAATTCAGACAAACAGATACAAAAAAAAATTTGTCACCAAATTAAACGCCTATGAATCAAAGAAATGAAGAAGAAATCATCAGTTTTTGGTCTAGAAAATATTGCGAAAATTTCAAAGTTTCATGATTGAAGAATTTTAAAAAGTTCGAAGGAGAAAAATTCAGAAAATATTGATGATTTCCAGTTCAATGGATAATTAGGACAACCAACAAAAACATTATAGGAATCAAATGAGAATTGGCGTGAAAATGTAGGAAATATCGAACAGTCTCAAATTGAGTTTGAACGAAAATTGAGTTTTTTTAAAATTTTTTTGATGATTATCAGTTTCAAAGATGTATCAATTATCGAACTGTATCAATGATTATCGAACTGTATCAATTCGTTTATCTTTTGAAAAACTTTCTTCTATTATTTTTTGTTTTAAAACAATGCTATTCATACAGTTCCCATAGTATGGGAACTGTATGACTAGCATTTTTTCACAGAGAAATTGTATGGAACTGTATGACTAGCATTTTTTCACAGAGAAATTGTATGGAACTGTATGACTATCATATTTTGTCTATGGCGGTCAATCCTGGGATTTGATAACCGATTTGATAATGATTTGTTTTTGATTCCGATTTGATAATGATTTGATAATGCTTCCGATTTGATAATAATTTGATAACGATTCTGATTTGATGACGATTTGATAACGATTTGATAACGCTATTTGATTCCGATTTGACAACGATTTGATAACGCTTCCAGTTTGATAACGAAAAAAGTCTATATTCCGATTTGATAACGAACTTCACCAATCATGTTTATACTAAGAAGTCCCTTTGCAGGATTTATATGTATCGCGGGGGTGTGTTTCTTCGGCTACCTACTTCCGGGTTCTGTGATCATGGCGTGCTACGTGTGGGTAATCAGACGCCACAACACTACCCGAAGCACCACCGCTGTTTCCAGCGAGATGCGTCGCAGGTTAGAACACTTTATGACATAAGTTATTTGTTACACCGTACAATATTCAATATTCGTATATGCGTAATTGTTGTTTTAAATATTGATATTGGAAGAAATTACAAATTGTTAGTACCACGGGGGGGGGGGGGGGCTGAACGATAACAGCCGATAAAGTGAAGGCTGGCATAACGTTTGGGTCTCCCGGAGCGAACTCGGGGTTTCATATCTACAAATTGCGACCAATTTTCAGACTATCACTGTTTTCAGCACAAAGTTTGCGATCATGTGCAAACATTGCCCACGAAAATGGAATCCTAATCTGACCAAACTTTGAACTTCTGGCCTCAGAATGATATTGTCCTCGATTTAAAAAGCCCGGGCATAATTCGCAGACTGCAAACAGAAGTGTTTTCTTACCTATTTTCAAATTCTCTCATCTCAAATACTGAAATCAGAAAGGAACTTAGCTTATGACTTATTACGGTGGTCCTGGGATAACATGAGACATTTTAAAGAGCTTTTTGATTTTCGAATGAGTAACTTTTGTCAATATTCTATCCATGGGGAGATTGTTTACTCCAAAATAGTTTTCGGAGAAGATTGTTTTTATTTTCTTTGAGAAGTTCCCATTTTAGCGTTTATGGAAAGTCCACTAAACAATTCGGTAATACTAATTCTAATTCGATTATAAATTTTGGAAATATTTATGGTACAATGATCCACCCTGCTTGTATAAGTTTTAGATCCTCGTCTGATTTCAGGACTCGCAAAGTGAATCTGTTCTGTTTTTTCTCCTCGCTCGGGTTCGTGTTGGCCTGGACTCCCTACACCATCTGTGGCATGCTTCACCTCGTCACCTCCGTCGACCCAGGTAGACAGCACACTCTTTTTGTGTACAGTTAGATACCAAAGTGCTGGCACAGTCAGCGCACTTGAACCCCCACCTCGACCAGGACAAAATTGTTTGTTTCTGTCAGTTTTTTTGACAATTTTGCCATAAATTAAAAAAGTTTATATTTGAAGTTTCCTGCATCAAGCTTCGTCCAGATCTCAACCATCAACAGTAGAAGATTTAGGGGGTGGGGGAAACCTTTTTCCTTCAGGAATTCGACCCCCTGCCGTTCCAAAGGGTCCCCCCTTTTGTACTATTTTGAGATATCCATTTTTGGCTGACTGACCTTAAAATGTTTCTAAAGATGCCAATGTATATTAACTTTGAGGGGGGAGTGCGCGCCGAAAAAACGCTATTTTTTGGTCGAAATTTTCCCAAAAGTGCCTAAAAACGAGCTTAATAGTGGTTTGGGAGAGCTCAGAAAATCAGTTTGGTCGACTCTGAAAAAAGTCGACGAAATTTTCAATTTTTTTTGGAAACACCCCCCCCCCCCCCTCGAGAAATTCCCAGATCCGCGCCTGACCATCAATTAAATGTTTAAAATTTTTGATGGATGAAAGCCTCAAAAAACCTTTCACATGGAACCGGAAAAAGTAATAAATTTTTATACTTTCGGTGGAAACCACTAAGCCATCAGCATCACTCGGGGGCAATTCGCAAATAATTAGGCTAAAAAAAAGAAAGTCACTGTCGATTTCACGAAGTTGGTGTAAAATTGATGTTGTTGTTGATCACGATGATGATGCGACTGCGAACAAATCCCTATTTGGAACCCAGTTTTATCAGCAGAACATAATTCATCATAGTGACCCCGCCGCACATTCCTTTGGCTAAACATTTCTTTGGCTGAATACACTCCTAAATTTTTAAATAAGGGCGCCAACGCCGAAAAAGCAATTGTCTGGCAAAGCTTTCCAAAAATACACAAAATTGACATTTTTATCTTAATTTGTAACCAAACCAATTTCGTTCATTCAAGGTTTTGTCAGAATATCAAAAGTCGACAAAGTTTTCTGCGCACACGCTAGTGACATACAGAAGAAAAACGTTTACTTGCTTCTAATTTTCTTTTAATTTTCAATGAAAAATTATTCGCCGGAAATGTAGAATTAGGGGATTCCTTCGCAAGCTGTCCCTTTGGCAGTGAACTCAGCGGGGCGACCGAGATTCACTACTTTCTACAATCCCGAAAGGGTTGATTTGGTGGCTAAAATCCTGTATTGCTCTCTGTTGCTTGCCCCTTTTGTGTATTGCTCTTCCGGCTGTCTTGTCTACTCGATACAATTGCAAGAGCTTCTAATTGTAATTTAATTCAGATGATTTTACGTTGGTTATATATATATTATACCGGTTATATTTATTAGCAGGGGCGGATTTAGGGGGGGGCGGGGGGGGCGGACGCCTCTTTCCTCCTCAGGGATTCGACCCCCTGCCGACCCAAAGGGTCCCCCCTTTGATACTTTTTCAGAAATCCATTTTTGGCCGACCGACCCTAAAATTTTTCTAAAGGCGCCTTCGGCGCCAATATATACTAACTTTGAGGGGGAGCGCGCGCCAAAAAAAAACGCGATTTTTTTGTCAAAATTTTTCAAAAAGTGCCCAAAAACGGCTTTTTGACTGTTTTTCCAAAAATTTGCATGCGGCGCAGAAAATTTTGCCAAAATAGGGGCAAATCAGTGCTTTGGGAGAGCTCAAAAAATCTATTTGGTCGACCTAAAAAAAATAAGGTCGTCAAAATTTTCGAATTTTTTTTGAAAATCCGCCCCCCCCCCTCGAGAAAATCCTAGATCCGCCCCTGTTTCAAAGTATTCTTTACTTAAAATTCTTGGAAGTTTCATAAGCATCTATGACTCATACCAGTATTTTCCCATGTGAACTAATTTAAAAAAAAACACTTTTCGTTTTTTCCTATGTTCAGGACGATTCTGGTGGCTTTTGAGTAACATGGCGGCCAAGACGTCTGCTCTGTACAACGTGGCTCAGTTCTGGACTGCTACATACCAGTTGACACTTCCCACTATCAACCCATACAGAACTCCAAAGGTTAGACTGCCTGTTTCCCGATTTAATTACTTGCCTGTTTAAAGATTCCAGTTTTAAAATCCTTTCTTTTTTAGGGAAGAACACTCAAGCAAAAATGTAAGCAGAGAGTATAATATGCTGAATGCAAAATCTTGCTTGCTTCTTCAAAATGGAATGCAACTCTTGCTATAAAAAACAAAAAGACGAAAAACAAAAATAAGTTGCTTTTTCCAAAACTAATATTCCATGATTTTCATTCCATAACAAATAGACAACTTTGCTGCGTTTTATTCAGAATCAACCGGAAGAAAAAAATAATTTAGAGCAAAATTAGCAAATCTATTTTCAATACCATGCTGAAAGAAGGCTGCTTGTATATCATGGCAAAACAATGAATGTTCCGACCTGCCCTTCAAAGCTGAATAAAAGTTTTTGCCTAAAAAAGATGAAACAACCAAAAAAAGAAAAAATTAACTATTTTTCTCTTCTTTTTATACCCAAACTTCAATAAATCTTTTCAAATTACCTGATGCTCATAGTTACTTCGACAGAAACTTTTCTTGAAAACAAGCTTTAGTTCAAAATCTGTAACAATCTTTAAATCTTTTAATTTTTAAATTGATTTATTCGGCACTAAAATTAATCAAATAAATTCATGATAAATCGATTCAATCGATTAAAATCCGAGAGAAATTTTAAGAATCATCCTAGGAGTTTGCCTAGGGAGTTTTTATGAATCATCCTGGGGGTTTTTGCCTTGGGCAGTTTTTATGAATCAGAGCAATTTCGGCATTAAAAACAACCATTTTAAACCTTCCAAAATGATACTAGTCAACTTCGCTTGTTTAAGATCATGAGGTATTGCAAATTCTCGATTTGTTTGTTGACGTCAATCAGTTGCAGCAAATACTTTAGCCAAAAAATACTTCTACCTAAATGCTACAAGTTTGGAACCAGTTCAAAACCAGTATTTTATATTATATTCTTGATAATATATTATATTCCAATTATATTATATTCCAATTATATTATATTCCAAGTATTTATATTATATTCCAATTATATTCTTGATAACTATCACTGTAAAACACTTTGAACTAATTAATCATCATCCATTACTAAAACTTACGATCTTTTGTAAAGCTAAAACTGTTTATTGTTTCAGCCAGAGAAGATTAAATTCAATTTAGAAAGCAGTTGCTCTTCCTCTCCTCTAACCTCGCAAGAATACCAATATACTAGATCTATTGAGACTAGGAAATACAAGAGTAAGATTAGGATCGGTATAAGACTAAGAAGTTGCACGAATTATCCGACCTAAAATTAGATAGCGAAATTAGATACGAAAATACTGTGTACCCTGTCCTACGAAATTACTCTATGAAAAGCAACCCCGGACTTTAACCCAAGTTGAGCGAAATTATATCCAAAAATATCACTTTTTGTTAATGTTGGACGTTGGAAAAAAATTAGGGAAAACTCTGTTTGATATCATGATAAAAGTTTGCCCTATAAATTTACCTGAGACCTGAAAAAAGAAACAGTAGTTACAAACAAATGTTGACGTGATACAAGCAGTTTTGTTCAATTGCAAGTTGATTGTTCAAGTAAGTAACAGAATCATTTTTTTTCTGTATCAAAAATAATGCCCAAAATTTTTCCTTCTCGCATTTAGATTTAACACGGGGAAAGAAGTGGTAAGTATTACAAGAACCATTGAATGCAGCGATTAAAGTTTTAAATTACTTCCTGTTAGTTTGTAAATCATTAAACTGATGTTTTGAAAACTATCAATTAATGGGTCTTCGGCTTTCATTTATCAAAATTGTTTGCATTCAGGGTCAACAAATATGAATTTATAAGACTAATTGATATCAGAAGCTTCCTTCAATCGCTGCTTTTCAATGGAATTTTTGCGGAGCTAAATTGTTAGTGTATTTTCAAATAGTGACTAAGCTGAAATTTGCTCAGCATGACATCTATGTGTTTAGCAAACAAGATAAACAAAAAAGCTCGTCATAGGGTGAAGCGCTGAATGTTTCGACTGCGTTTTGAGGCCTATGGAGTAATGATAAAAAGAAAAAAAAATCAAAGGTGATAAAAATAAAATTAAAAACTTCTATTTTAAAATTTTAGATTTTTTGTGAAATCTATCTCCCATATGCCATATAAAACACAAAGTGATAAATTTTGCTCCAAGAAACAAATTAATTCTGGCAACGATTGGAACGATTTCTACAATGGAATAAATCTCCGCTTACGCGTTAATAGCGCGATATATATCGTGCGTTAATTGTCCCAACTTGGCCAAAATGCCAATCTTTGAACTCCCTTAACTTTATAAAAATGAATATCTTTTCAAGTTTAAGCTCAAAACAACAGAAATTTCAAAAAGATATAAAAGTTTTCCGTCAAAAAAGGCTAGTTAAAAAGTCGAAATTTGTCTGAAGAAAGAAAAACCACTCCGAGCACAAAGATTCCGTTACTTTCGTTCCAAAAGTCGAAACAACAAGACTGCTCGTATCAGGACAAAGCCCCGAATGTTCTGACTGTCTTTTAATGTACATGATGCAGTGTTTGCTTTTTAAAAAATTATGCATTTTTCGGAAAAAAGGAAGAAATCCAAAATTTTCGAGTTTATTTAAATCATCACCCCACACGCCATATGAAAGTACAAAAAGATAGATTTTGCCCCTAGTAACGTAAAATTTACGACAAATAGCCTGTTTCAACCAATTGGAACGATTTATATGAGGGATTACATATCCGCTTACGTGTTAAGTGTTAATAGTGCGAAAAAATGGCTAGTTAAAAAGTCAAAACTTGTCTGAAGAAAAAAATTCACCCCGAGCACAAAAAACTTCCGTTATTTTCGTTACGAAATCGAAACAATAACTAAGATTGTATTGAGCCATTGATGCTCTGATGGGCAATTTGCGGAGTTTCATCATGTGAAGGTACGCAAATAATTTTGTTCCATTTTGTTGATTGAAATATTTTATGTCAAATACAATACACTGAGCATTGAACTCAGATTGATTTTTTCAAGTTTATTGACGGCCCAGCATGGTGAGTTTTTGAACAAATGGACTAAGGTATTTCCAATTGTCTTTTTACTTGACTGATATCGAAATTAAATTGAACTTTTTAGCCATTTTAGTTTAATTAGTATCTGTGCTTGTCACAAATTAAAACGCTTTTCATGTTGTTTTTGCCAGCGTGTGCATGAAAAAAAATTCTTTTATTAGTAGGAATGTCCTGTTGGGTTGCCGATGAATCGAAAGCCGGATCTCAGAAATTGAACGATGGAAATAAACAAAACATTGAATTTATAAAGTCATGCGTGAAGCTCATAGAATTTGAGACACTCGTTTGTGAAAGGTTTGATGATTTCTTTTGGAGACTCTTCATATATTTTATATCCTCGTCACTGGAACAGTAAGTTTTGCTAGCGCTGCTAAAAGTAAACGTCAGTGAATGCATTTGTAATTTATCTGCTGGCTCTTTTCTAGTTAAACGCCCCCTCGTAAGATAACAACATAAAAATGTTTGAAAAGTGTTCGGAAATAATGTATAAATTTATTGTTCACTTGTTCAGGCTGACATGTTTTTTTCACAGTTTAGATTATCAGAATTCAATTTTCATCTGAGTGTTCATAAAATGATTTTGAGAAAAAACCACGGGGGAACTCAGAAACAGGAAAAGAGCCGATATGTTCACTAAAACTAGCTTTTGCTAACAAGAATTCATATTGTGGTTTTGCGATTCGCAGATGATCTATGAAAGGCTATCGCGCCTGTTTAAGCATAGTCAGTTTCTCTTATTTTCCCACATTCCAGACTGAGTTAATTTGTTGCCTGAAGCTCTTTTTTGCGACTCAAGGCCGTTTTTTTGCGTCTAGAGCTTTCACGTGGTACCACTATTGCAGCCATAATCGGGCAGGCTGTGGTAGACCAGAAGCTAGAGGTCAAGTGAGAGCTCGTCCTCACACACTATCATTGCCATGGCAGGGGATCGATTCCACGAACAGACGCTCTTAGAGTGAACGCCTTACCACAATGCTAAGTGTCTCAAATCGAAGAGATACCTTAAACGGCTCGGTTGGATTTTCGCGCAAGGTTGAGTAGCAGATGATATAGCACGTGATCATCAGACTACAAACTTACAATAATGCCCCTTCCACTAAAATGCCGTCTGAACAATTATTGCTTTCCGGTTGAGCTGAATTCAAAGTTAAAACGATGCCGTGTTAGGTTGAAAACTAAAAATCTAATGGTTTTCCCAGAACTAAGTTTGATTGAGATCGAAATCTAAGCAAACCCACTTTTGGTCTCAATAACACAAACTCTTCAGCTCGGGTTTTACCAGTCCAATCTCTTTAAAAGGACAAACTCTTCAAATCGGGTTATTTTTGTGCAGAACAAAAAGAACTTTTAGCAAAAATATTGGTGACTAGTAGCTAGATTGTTTCAGACCTCTGGAATCTTCACAGTTGCGTTGCCGGTAGATTTGGACCCGTTAGAGATGGAGTCAATGGGTACTCAAGCCAGATTTCCTGTAGAGGGACAACAAGTCCCTGTCATCCCTGCAATCATCACGGGTCCGAGCTATATACTACCGCAGCCCAGAAGAGATTTCACGCCACAAGTTGGTCAGTCCAACAGGTAGAAACATGATAAAGCTAAACTTACCATATGTTTTTCCCCCGAGAAATTCGCTTAACTTCACCAAACAAAACAATTGTCTGAAAATTTATTCAATTATGTCATGAACCCTAGGAGGCGGTATATTTAAAAAAAAGTCGAAGAAAATGAGTCCTTAAATTTTGGGAGATTTTCTCAGGATTTTGCGGAAAGCTTAGAGTCCCCGGCTTTCTCTGAGAAAGCGCCATTTTTTGGATTAGGAGTTCAAAAAACCTGGCTCGAATTTTATTCTCAAGCCGACTTAAAAAGTTGAATATTTCTTCTCAGTTGGGTCTTTATACTTTCGAAATTAACTGCGACGCAGTTTTGTTCGCGTTTAACTTTCGACCAAGTTTTAACATATATATACCTTTCAAAGCGCAACGATTTTTACATCTTTCACCAATGATAACGAAAAGCAGTTATAAACACTCACCAAGATTGAGGATAAAAGGAAGGCTCTAGACGATTTAAAAATGACAAATTATTCGAAAAATGAATTAAGCAAAAAAAGTTTATTGGGAAGAAGGCACACTGAGAATATCGATAGTCATCCGAGACGAGGTCGTGGTCTTTTGTTCAGACTTGTTGGAATTGATCCGCGTTGGGACCAAAAATTTGTAGTCGCAACGCGAACAAAGTCTGCAAAGTCTAAACATAAATCTGCAAAGTCTGAATATAAGTCTACTTATTCCGAACATTGGCCTGCAAAATCTGAACATAAAGTCTTCAAAGTCTGATTATAAAGTCTGCAAAGTCTCGAGAGTTTTATGTCCACGGATCTTCATTATGTGCCTATTAAAAAATATTTTAAAAATTGTGGCATGCTTTAAAATTTGTGGCATGGAAAGAAAAACTAGTTAAAGATAGTGGTAAAAAATCCACGATTTTGATTCAACATAATTGAAAAAAGAGGAGAGTAAAAAACTTCGACTTAGTTCAACATACATTCAAATTGCAAGGAAAAAGCCGTTGGTTTATCAAAAGTTAAAATAAAAGGTAAATTTGGTATCTACACAGCTACTTTGAATTTCACTGGTTTTACATTAAGCTTTCTGAGAGGTGTTGAAGAATCCAAAGAATTGGATTTTTTTTTAATTTAGTTCTTTGGAACCTATTCAAGAGAGAGAATTAATGTGAGAGAAAAAGAAAGCCCTGAATGTTCCGACTATCCCTTAATTCAAATCGAACAGTTTTTGTGATACGAAAACATGAAAACCTATAATTTTTGGACAAGATCAAAGTGTGAAATTTTGAGTCGTACGAAATTAAAACGACCGATCTGATTAGCTAGCCTCAATCCAATTTGGAACGATTATGTTTTTCGGGATAAACTGCCACGCACAAATAAGTCGCGTTAGCTATCAGCAATATGAATAAACTCTTCAAAGCGCGCATAATGTAGTCCAGAACATGGCCAATCTGGCAATTTTCAAACCCCAAAAGTTTTCAAAAAAAAAATCGGAGGCAAACTATCTTTTTACATTTGAACTCAAGGAGTCAAAATCCTCAAGGGGGTATAAAAAGTTTTTGTCAAAACCTATTATTTATAATAAAAAAACCACACCGACCATAAAAATTCCGTTTTCTTCGAAAGTCGGAACAAAAAATAATTGTAATAGTATGAAACAATTTTCTTTTTAGTTTGAGATTTTTTTGCGAAATCATCTGACCACGCGCCATATTAAGTACGAAGTGATAGATTTCGCTCCTAGTAACAAACCAATTACGGCAAATAAGCTTCCTTTAACCAATTTGGAACGGTTTCTAGGACGGAATAAATCTTCGCTTACGCGTTAGTAGCGCGAAATATATCACGCGCTAATAGTCCCGAATTGACCAGAATGGCAGTCCTCAAACCCCCATAAATTTACAAAAAATTATCACAGGTGAAATATCTTTTCAAGTTTAAGCTCAAGACATTAATACCTTTTGAATGTAATAAAAAATTCTGTCAAAAATGGCTATTTAAAAGTTAGAAGTTCCCCCATCTGCAGAAACAAAAGTTAAACCCGTGCACATATTCCGTTAACTTAATTGCGAAAGTCAAAACAATAATTTTTATTAAAACAGAGGATTGAAATAAGGTAGTGCTCTGAATAGGTTTCAAATGCTTCCTACTTAGGTTTCGACTGTGTTTTGCCTAGTTCTCTCTAACGTAAGACAAGGTTTTCTCCTCAAATTTGTTGAAAGTAAAACAGTTTGAAATGGAAACAGTAATAACATACAACAAAACTGCTCGTAAATCAGGGCAAAGCCCCGAAGGTTCCAACTGTCCTTTGATTCAAATCGAATAGTTTTTGCGAAAAGAAATTATGAAAACCTATAAGTTTTGGACAAAATCGAAGTGCGAAGTTTTGAGTCGATCAATTAGCTTGCCTCAGTTATCTAATTTGAACAATTTCAGTTTGGTGTGCGGGATAATTCGACACGCAAAAACAATTCGCGTTACGTTCTCAGCATCATGAATAAACTCTTCAATATGCGCATAATTTAGTCCAGAAAATGGCCCTATTAATTTGGCAAATCTCAAACCCCCAATGTTTTACAAAAATAATCGGAGGTGAAATAACTTTTTACATTTGAGTCAGGAAGTCGATCTCTTCATTGGGGTATAAAAATTTTTCCCTGTAAGCTATGGTTTCGATCGGCGAAAATTGACTGAAAAAAAAATAAAACCACACCGAGCATAAATATTCCGTTTTCTACGAAAGTCGGAACAATAAGACTGCTCATATCAGGGCACAGCCCTGATTGATCCGACTGCATAATTACTCAGTTTTTTTTTGAAAGTCGGTACAAAAAATAATTGTAATAGAATGAAACAATTTTTTTTTAATTTGAGATTTTTTGTGAAATCATCCCGCCACGCACTATATAAAGTACGAAGTGATAGATTTCGCTCCTAGTAACAAATCATTTACGGCAAATGAGCTCCCTTCAACCAGCTTGGAACGGTTTCTAGAACGGAATAAATATTCGCTCACGCGTGAATAGCGCGAAAAATATCACGCGCTAATGGTCCCGAATTGACCAGAATGGAAGCCCTCGAACCCACATAAACTTACTAAAAATGATCACAGGGAAATATCTTTTCAAGTTTAAGCTCAAGGCAACAATACCTTTTGAAAGTAATAAAAAAGCCGTCAAAAATGGCCAGTTAAAAATTCGAGTTTAGTCTGCAGAAACAAAAATTCAATTCCGTTAATTTCGTTGCGAAAGTCGAAACAATAATTTTTATCATTACGAGGCTAAACTATGCGTTCTGTGCATTGTAAGCGGAATCCGCAACAGGCCAAAATCAGATTTGTCGCGGAATCCGCAACATTGCTACTTTTCTTTGATCTTCTATGCTGTTTTGGACTCCACAAACAAATACGTAAATCATTGTACTGCTCAAAATCGCTCAAAAAATAGGCGATTCTGCGGAATCCGCAACCGTACTTGCGAAATCCAGAACAGTTTGTGGAATCCACAAACAAATAATAAGACATTTGTATAAATAAACTGAGCTGTTGCGGATTCCGCAACTTTAAGCGGAATCCGCAAATTGGAAATGGAATCCGCAAACTGTAAATGGAATCCGCATTTTGTTTGCGGATTCCGTTTACATAAATGTGTATGTGTATTATAGTAAATCAAATTATATCTTTTAATTACTGGTCACCGGAAAAATCAATCTCAATTACTACATTGATCAACTACCAGTTGAAATACCAAACGTTTGGTCTCATTTTTTGTCAAACTAACTTCGGCCCAAATACTGACCTTTTGAGCTCCGATCCCAAATTCTGAATTCTGACATACTTCAATCTGAACCTCGATCACAAATACTGATGCCATCCCAAATACTGACCTTTTGATTCCAAATCCTGACCTACTTCTGTTTGAACCTTTATCCCAAATGGTGATGCAATCCCAAATACTGACCTATTTCGGTGATATGCTGAGCGTTGTGTTTCCAAACACTCTCAAGCTAATGACTACAAATATTGAATTTATTCGGCGTTAAGCTTCCAAAATCAGTATTTGGGATTGACGCAATCCCAAATACTGACCTATTTTGGCAGTATGCTGTGTGTTGTATTTCCATACACTCTCAACCCAATGACTCCAAATATTGAAATTTTTCGGTGTTGTGTTTCCAAAATACTAAAAGGTGACATCCACCGATTTAGTTAACAAATGTTTTGCGATTTGTTCGTGGATTCCGCTGACAATGATTAAGTCTTTGCCTTTAATTTCGGCATTGCTATAGATAAGAATTCCTGCTCTAGCTTTTAATTGTTCATATGCAAGTTCATTAATAAACAAAAATCTGAATCCACTTACAGTTTGCGGAATCCGCTTACATATGCGGAATCCGCTTACAAAACTTGCAGATTACACGTACATTTGCGGATTCCACTTATATTTTGTGGAATCCACTTACAGTTGCGGAAGCCAGAACAACTAGCTATATTCGCTTGTTGCGGAATCCGCGGCACAACAAATGTACCGACAAAATTTACGTTACAGGTATTTGTACGCGGAAGCCACGGAATTGTTGAATGTGAAATCCACAGACATTTTGGAACAAGTTTAAAGGTTTGTCTATGGAATCCAGAAATCTAGTGCCAAACTATCCAGTGCACAGTTTGGCCTCGTAATGATTAAAGCAGAGGATTGAAGTTAGGTAGTGCTCTTAGTAGGTTTCAAATGCTCCCTACTTAAGTTTCGACTGTGTTCGTAATGCTTCTCCTTTCTCTCGGTCAGTTTTTTTTTGTAAATTTAGCCTGTGCTTGACCTATGTTTTAGCTCTCGCCAAAGCTGAGTAGTTGTTTTGAATGGCGATCGTCTCAGAAAAACTTCTCGGCCGCGGATTTTCAGCCGATAATGCGCGCTATCGACTTTTAACGTCAAATCATAAGTTGAGTGCCTGAAATCGGGGTAGCGAATAAAAACAATAAGATTAATCACATGTTTTAGTACCCCCACCAACAGCCCTCGCAAACGTAAAACGAGTGGTTGGGAAAGAAGGATACAGAAACAAGGCGGGACCAGTGCCACCCGGAAGAGGTCATTGACCCCCAAACAACATGATATTCCTCCAAACCAATTCATTTCGGGATCCAACCTAGCTTATTATGAAAATGAATGAAGCGCTAAGCCGACCTATTTCAACAGGTTCAATGAGTGTATTTATGTATAATTTAAGTGTAAGTTTTTCTGTATAAAAAAAAACTGAAAAAAAAACAACACGGATCTAGAATTTTTTCCAGGGGCGGATTTGTGAAATGTTTTTGAAAGTTTTGTTGTCTTTTTTGTGTTGGTTAACTGAGGATTTTCTAATTTTTTGTGACGAGAACTATTTCTAAAAACTTTTATAGTAAATGATATAACAAATTTAAAACATAACTTATTATGAGCCAGTTTGGAGTTGCAGAGACTTTGTTTGACCATTCACATTTTGAATTTTAGGACGTGTAACTTCTAAAATTCGCAGTGTTTTAACAAAATTTGATTGCTAGAAAAGTATTTGTAAATTGATGACTTTTTATTTTTGATCATAATTTTAATTTAAAAAATATGTTGAGGGGTTATTCGGTTATCTTTTATGTGGGGGGTGGGGGAGGGTGTGTGTGTGTGTGTCTGTGTCTGTGTGAGGGGGGGGGGTGGGTAGGTGGAGGAATTTGGATTGTTGTGTTCAATCCATCCGCGGTTGCTTCGCAAGATCTGTCAACGAAAACTGTTTTTTTGATGATAAAATACTGCTAGAGTTCTGATTGGAATCCCATTTCACTGTAATAATGGGAAAGTATGTCTAATTAAACTTTTGCCAAACTATAGAATTACCGCAAGAATATTTAAGACTAGGAGACTTCCGAACTGCACATGGGAATACAAAAACTTGCGAGAGTCAAGTAAAAAGTTGTTGCAAGATTTTGAATGCTTCCTCAATACGAAAAAAAAAATTAAAGAAAAATTCAAAAAATTTGATTCAAGTAAAAAATAAGAATTTTGAATGCTTCCTATATGCCGATTTCAATGCAAATCTTGGATGATTTTTGGGACACATTTGCAAAACTTTGCTTTTCCATAAACTCTGCCTAAAATCAGCTGATTAAAATGCATGAACGTTGATCATCTAGATTGCTATGTTATTTTTTATCTCAAATGCTCAAATATAATCCGATTAACTCGGGATAAAAAAAATTATTTTTTGCACAATCATTTCTTTAAAACTAGAAGTCCAATCCGAAAGTTTTGGTTTCTTCTTTAAAATGTTTATCAAAATCTTGATTACTTATGCCACTCATTACATGAAGGAAACATGTTTCAGCAACGTCCGGTGGAACATTTTGCTGAATACTTTTTCGTAGTCATAAATCCAAGAATTAACTACACGCTAACAGCAAAAAAAAAACAAACCGCAAAAAAACAACATTGAAAAGCAAAGTTTTCCTTACTTCTTGCAAAAGGTATGCAACCTGTAAAAACAACTAATTATAATAACCACAAGGAAAACCGGTTGCAAGTAGCACAAAATGTTCCAACGACAGGCTCAGAAAAAATACAAAAACAATTTTTTCTTTAAATTAGTGTCATTTTTCCCCATGGTGTGATTAAAAAGTGTCCAGTAAAAAAAAATTTTTGGCAAATTGGACAGTCATAAAAAAAAACCATTCGGGAAACAGTTTTCGAAGAAAATTGACTAGAAATACGAAAAAAATTAAAGAAAAAACTTAAAAAAATTTGAAAAAAAAATTCAATTTTTTTTGAAGAATTTTTCAACCTTTGCTTAGAAGATGGCGCTAAAAGTGTCCAAAAACTACTTGTAACTGATTACAACTAAGTTTTCACGGCTTAAAAATAGCTTAGATAAGCTATTGTAAACATACACGCTCACACCATATCAGTTCGAAATGAGACCAAAAAAATTCAAACCAATTATTCTCGACACTGAGGAAACTTTTAGAATTTTGTTAATGTGATTCAAATTACGACTGAAACGGCTTTAATTTCATATACCCATCGAATTATTCCGATCAATACTTCTTGTACCTGATTCTGCGTGGAAAAAAAAGAAAAAACTAAAACACAACCGAATACAAATTCCTCTCCATTTTCAATGGTCGGAACAAAAAATATTTTGCAAGAAAAGTACAGGATCCTCTTATTCATTCGCAGAAATTTTTGCGAGAAGGCAGCAAGATTTGTTTTTAAAATTCAATGAACATTTTTCATAGTTTATATCCATGAAGAGGTATAAAAGTTTAAAGGCCGGAAACCTGCATGACTCTCAAGTGATTGCTGAAAATAAAGACAAACCTAACAAAAAATTAGGCAAATCCAGAAAAAATTGAATCAAAAGAAATGCAAAATGCAATCGACATCATTCGCGCACGCAGATTATATAGTAATTAAATTTTTCTTGTCACCACCCTTTCTTTCCGAATCTTGTTTTTTTTGGAGTTTTAGTTGCTGTAGGATTCTGTGGTCGAAAAATCAGTGCTGTTTTTTAACGAGTGGGAAACATCAAACAGTGCAATAACAAACGAGTTAGGGTACGACGAAAAATATAATTGATTTTTAGTTAAGAGGATCACAAACTGCGCTCTTTGTTGTTTGTTAAAAGATCAAAGCTCAGCAGGTACTCAAAACACCACAAGATATCAATTCATACAGATAATGAGGTCATGAAATGGTCCAAATAATTGTTGTAATCAGCTTCTATTCATAGGGAGGATATTCATAAGGAGGATTTTCATAGGGAGGATGTTGGGTAGGAAGAGGAGTTTGGGTTGCTTAAATCACGCGCAAACGCTTCACAAGATCCGTCAATGAAGTCTTTTCTGTTATCAAATACTGATAGCATTCTCTATTTTTTGTATTTGTAAATTAAATCTCGTAGAATTTTTGCAAAATTATACAAATATCTCAGATTTTTTAGGACCAGGAGACTTCCAGACTGCACATGGGAAAAAAACTTGCGAGATTCCAGCAAAAGCTCATTGCAGGGTTTTAAAATCTTCTTACATGCCGATTGCAATGCAAACTTGCATGATTCTTGCAAATAATGGCAAAATGTTGCTTTTCTTTTCCTTTGCATAAAATCAACTGATTCAAGTTTATGAGTGTCCATCAAATAATTAGAATAAGGGCTGTTTCGAAAGTTTTTTCTCAATTGCTCAAATATAATCCGATTAACTTGGGATAAAAAATACTTTATTGCACAATCCTTCTTTAAAACTAGCAGTCCAATTCAAATGTTTAGGTTTTTTTTAAAAATGCTCATCAAAGTCTTGATTACATAGGCCACTCATTACACAGAGAATACATATTTCAGCAACGTCCGGTAGAAAGTTTTGCTAAATAATTCTACGTAATCATAAATCCAAGAATTAAATACGCGCAAACAGCAAAAAATAAACGGCAAGTAAAAAAACGATCAGTGAAAAGTAAAAATTTTCTAACTTCTTGCAAACGGAATGCAACTTGTAAAGCTCAACTTTTTTTAATAACAAGTAAAATTTTGCAAGATTGCAGACGTTGTTGCGAGAATTTAGCAGAATTTGATTTTAAAGATCATTAACGCTATGATTCACATTCTTCATAACTTATACTTATGACCAATGATTACACAATTCATTCAGTAGGTTTGGAAAAAGCTAGAGAGAGAGAGCAATTCAGAGAATTGCTTTTAAAGCTCTTTGAAAGAAGACACTTTCGGTAGGACAAAAATTAAGCCTTTAAACGCAGCCTTTTTTAAACAAATCTTTTATTGCAATTTATAAATTTTGCATCAGTTATCTCGACCACAAAACTCCTAAAACAAGTGGGAACAAACTAAAGCAGATTTTTTTTTGCCCAGTTTTAGGTATCCCAAAAAAAACTTTTATGCTTCATTTTAATTGTCTTAAGTAAAATGTCTCTGTTCATCACAAACTCTATCGGACTGAAGCTCAAAGCTGTATCAGTGTCGAGAAAAATTTGTCTGTGTTTTATAAAGTTCTAAAGCATTTCAAACGTTTGTGAAGGCCGGAAAAGATTGCATTACTTTTAAGTGATTGTTTGAATTAAAGACAAACCTAACAAAAGATTAAACGAATCCAGAAAAAATTAGATCAAGAAAAATACAAAATGCAATCGACCTCATTCACGCACGCAGATTATATAGTAGTTAAATTCCTTCTTGCCGCGATCTTTTTTTTTCTCAATCAAGGTTGTTTCAGAATTTTAATTGCTCTAAGATATTGTGGTCGAAGAAACCAGTGCGTTTTTTTAACAAATGGGAAACGGGAAACAGTGCAACAGCAAACGAGTTAAAGTACGACCAAAAATGTAACTGGTTTTTGCTCAGAGGATCACAAACTGCGCTCCTTGTTTTTTCTTAAATGATCAAAATTCAGCAGGTGTTCAAAACACCGTAATAAATCATTTCGTACAGATAATGAAGACATGAAACGTTCCAAATAATTGTTGTAATCATCTTCTATTCATGATCCATCGAAACTTGAAAGTAAATCAAGATAAAAGCTGCCCTGTGTATAGCAAACCCATTGCAAGAAAACAGGAAATTTGACCATGATCTTTCCATACTTTAACTCGTTCTGTATTACTGTTTAAAGCTTCAGTGAAATTGGTACGAAGACAGCTTTTAGTTTTTTTTTGCTTTAAGGCTCACCAATCAGCGGATTTTCAAAATTTTAAATCAATGTTCACATTCAGAACTCTCCAACTCTTTAAGAAGTTTTCTCATTATGTAAGCTTCGAATGATCTCTGAAAAACGAACAACTTCGAAAAACTGCAAATAATGTAATCATCTTCTTGTTGTTAAGAAGAGAGAAGCTTATGTCGAAACAAGGCCTTTGCAAGTAGACTGTATTGCAAATTTAGACTGTACCTTTGAAAATTTATACTGCTTTCATGAAAAAAATTCTGCCAAAAAACATATATGTTTTTATAGAGAATTGTTCTTGTTTTTTATCCTTGTAAACGAGTAACGTTGAGCTCATGTTATAAATTGACTTAAGTTTAAATTCAAGGTTACAGCCTTCAACATAAAATTTTCGACGTTATATACGGTGCAAACCAAATTTAATTAAAACACTATCAATATTCTTTACTAACCGCGCAGTGCTGGCTGATATCTAAGTAACCTTGCC